TCCTATTCACAAGCACTTAGACTCAGAAGGATATGTTCTAACGATAAAGAACTAATAATCTCGAACATCAATTCACAACACGTGGCTATAAACAACACCTAATCAGGGAACAAATAAATAAAGCTATTTCCACACCTATAGACACCTTAATGCATAAAATCAAAAATAAATTCAGACACATCCTCTAGTAACCACTTTTAACACTATTCTTCTTCCACTATCTCAGATAATCAAACGTCGCTGGAAAATACTACATCTCAAACCAGACTTAAAAATTTTGTTTGAGGAACCCGACCTTCTCACATATCGTAGACCTAAGAACCTTAAGGAAATTATAGGTAGTAACCAAATTTCAGATGATAAGGTAATCCGTAACAGACCAAAACCACATTAGACATACCAATTCCTTAACTATCTCAGTCGATAAATCTACTTTCAAATCTACGTAACTCTAAGTGTAGTAGTCATAACATGTCATACCTATTAGAATGCAAATTATGAAAAAATATATGTGAAAATCTGAACGGTCATTTCACTACAGAATTAATAATTATTGTTATCAGATCAAATCGGATCCCCACGTAAGATTATTATCTGTAGATCATTTCCGCCAACAAAATCATGATCTTAAAAGCCATGCCAAAATCACTATAATTGAAAAAATAGAAAGAGACAGAAAAGATAAACTTAAAAAAGCACTAGAAGAACATGAAGACAAATGGATTTTGCGTCACGAAACAGTTCCTCCAAAGGAGCGTAACATTTTAACAACATATAGAGAATTAATATATAACCCCATAAAATCAAATCCTACCCACATTTCTCAAACACACAAGACAGACATGCTAGTAGAGATGCTGAGATCTCACAGTTATACACACACTCATACTAATATATACACATATACACATCACACACAATACCATAGATCTAAAAGATAACATATACTTAACACCCCGACCCTCAGGAACCGATAAAACTGTTAAAATGACCAAGGAGGGAATTCATAGCGTAAGGAATCTCCCATCCTCTATCTTAAAAACAACTTGGAAGAGAGACCGTTTGACCAACACAAGGATTGACCAAAATTAACCATAAAAAGCAAATGAAAACTATAGATAAAGTACATTTCTTCAGAAAAATCATTCAATTCCGTAGTTCACTGCTACTAACAAGCAGGGATTTTTTCTCCTGATGATGGCCATGCTGTCCGAAACTAGTCTAGGAATCTAACTGAAATAATAAAACAAAATATATTAATATACAACCCAGTGTGTCTTAAAATTTTATATTTTTTATCATGTTTTTTATTCAAAACACACACACACACACACAAGCACACACACACACCCACACACACACACACACACACATGCGTAATATGTAATAAAATATGCAAAAAAAACGCAAGAAAGTGCTTAATGTCGATGATTAAATAAAAATATATTTATTACAATTTAAGCACATCACCCTACCGACTAATCACTTTTCACCGTAAGCATCATCAGAACGTAAATGCTGTTAAAATATGGAAAAGTGGACATACGTTCACCCATTATAAGTTTTTGTCGAACCGATTGATATCATGAACACGCGATTCTTAAAAAGATGCGTCAATTTTGTTGACATTCATTTCCACAGAAGGGCATGAAAAATGCAAGGACCCAATAATGGAAGCCTTTCATTAATTCCAATAAACAAGTTATCTCTATACTTGTTTATTTGCAATACTATGAATAAACAGAATGTTACACCGGAAAAACGTAACTGTAAATATGTCTAGTAAAACATTCTTTAAACTAGTAGTAATTGTAAATATTCCTAACAGTCATCAAAAGCTGTAGTTCATACTATATTTATATGTAATACCTATTTTTTGTAATCAAAACAGTTAATTAAAGCTTTAGTTCACACGATATTTACATGTGATACGTAATAGTAAATAATTATGTCATTAAAAGCTATAGTACACATTATATTTATTATGTAAATATGCTAAAAAATATAACTTTAGTGCAAAACTATTAAAAAACAGAGTAGAATATAATTTAACAAATACTGATAATCTCATCTGTCTTCGTTTTATTTTTCAAAGAAATATACACTACAATATCACGTTGTGTTTTTATAATTTTATATTCTTTGAAAGTCAGAGTGACGTTAACAAATTTGAATTTGAAAAGGAATGCAGGCGGCCAACAGAAGATAATTTATGGGGGAAAGATTGGGAATCTGCAGTGAGCAATAAAGAAAAAAAGAAAAAAAAAGAAATAAAAGTGCTTTTAGATATTAAGAATGTGAATGCTTAGCTTCGAAATGTTTATTGATTTCTCTCACGTTCCAAATAGTCTCCCATCATCAAAGTTACTTTTTTATACATTTTTTTTTTGTTTATTTCTATTTTTTATTTTATTTTATTTTTGCATTTAATTTGAAGATTTTTTTTTTTCTTTTACTGTAACATTTTTTTTTTTAAATTCCGAAAGTTACTTCATCTTTA